TCTATGTACTGAGATAAAAACTTGTTAGGGAAGAAAAGATTCATAACAAGCCCCTCAGGAGGTAAAGGGTAAGCTCTGCTTCTAAAATGTCAAGAATCCTTTTTTTCTTTTTTGTTGTCGATGTTGTGAAAAGATTTTTCAGCACTGTCCCATGTCTGCATTGTTAGCAGCTGCTTTGTACTTTAAAAACCTCTAGAAGACCTACTGGTTCCAAATGTTTACAGTCAAAGACATGTTTTTCAGAGAACTGCATCATCTCTCATTTTGATGTGCACATAATGGTTATCGCATTGTATATACCGACAATTAGTGTTCTTAGAGGTACTGCTGATTCCGCAAACCAGGAGTATAAATGGCATCCTTTCCGTATTGGCCACCCCTACCAGCAGTGATACAATCCTACCATTACTGTTTCCTACAGTGGAAGCACAAGTGTAGGAGCTCTGCTTTCTGCCTAACAGTACAAAGGTTGTGTTTGTGCTTCTTAACAACTTTGCCTCTGGAGGTATTTTTAGTTTTTGTCTAGATTGTAGAATCTAGATTTTGACTAGAAAATTACTTAAAACCCCAAACAGTGATATATGTTTTGAATGCAGAGGCCTTGTACAACAAAATACATGGTAGTTGCAATTTGTTATTGCGATATTAAATCTATGTTTTCAAGGAAAAATACACTAAAATGCATTTTAGTGCACAAAAACACAATTTAGTCCCCAATAAATGTGTGCAAAATAAAAGATGAGGTTGTTTTAAAAAAATAAATACCAAACATGCCAAACATCAAAACTGTGCACCCAAAATTAGCAGTGGGCGAGGCTTTGAATGCCTTTACAGTTCAGTTTAGGGATAACCATACATGAGGGACCTAGAATTATTTATCTATCTCTGATGTGCTTGGGGTTATGAGGGTATGTTTTTTTTTTCATTTTTGTTTTAAGTTACTCATATTGCTATTAAAAGTGTCTAAAAAGTCACCTATATGATAGCTTTAAGCAGGTGACAGGTACTCTTTATGGCGACTTTAGGGGACTATTAGACCTCTAATGTCTCTCCTGGCCTCTGCTACAGCTGATGTTTAACCAGAACTTCAGCTGGGATTTGTACAGCTCTGAATACAGAAATGCTTAAGACTCAGTGGGGGGAATTTATCAAAACTGGAGCAAACAGAATCAGGAGCAGTTGCCCATGGCAACCAATCAGCATCTCTCTTCAGTGTGCTCAAGAGTTGAAAATGAGACAGAGAAGCTGAGTGGCTGTAGTGCAAATCTGCTCCAAAAATAGTCTGCTCCAGTCTTGATAAATTCCCCCCAGTGTTTCCAGATTTACACACTGCAGAGGACATCACAACCATGTTTGTGGTGGTCCTAGGCTCCCAGGTGGAGCAGGAGAGCCCGGGAACCAAGGGAAATGGTTTTCTGGTTTGGGGGGCACCATCCACAAGCTATCTAAAAGTGATCAGGCAGCTTTACACTAGTAAATGTGCTCTTGGCTTAGAACAGCAGTCTGACAGTCCCATATATACATACATCCCACCTTAAGGCCCGCCCACTGTGCTGACACATACGTGCGTTACACCAGTGGAAAAGTGATAAATAAACCAAATCTAATAGGCTTGTGTAGCCTTAGGTAATGCTTGACATTTCTTTAGAAGAATAAGTCTTGGCTATCAACTTGATTCTACTTTCATTACATAGATTGATAGAAGCAAAGGCAATCCCCCTCCTAGGACATGCTATTGATTCCTTTAAACACCTGACTCAATTAGTGCTGAAACTGCTTGTGATATACAGTATCTAGAATAGCTTTCTTTCCTTAACTCGAGCACTGAAGGAAAGTAAAATCTATTTTGCATATTGCCGCTTTGAGCTGATTATTCTGACTTATCTTTGTTTTTAATGTTTCACTAAATTAGCCTCGAAATGCTTTTCATTAGTCTCATTGACTGCGTCTGGTGTAATAACAAACCGTGTGTTCTCTTCCTAAATGGCTTCACAGTAAACACATAAGCCGCATGTCCCTATCCCACTTCAGCTCTGGAGAGAACACTGCAGCTAACAACTCCTACATGGAAGACGGAAAACCACAGACACAAACACGAGGCCACAGCCTGGGCTTCAATCTTTTTATCGACATGTAGGTGACTTATTTATACTACCTTATGCAATATATTTTCCTGTCTGTTAAGGTAGCCATACATGGTTAGGATTTTGTTCAAACATTAGTACAAAAGTCTGAAAAAAGCATTCATTAAAACATTTCATGAGGCCATCATTGAGTCAATGATTTTTATTTGAAAGCCCTTAAAAATTTTGTCCAGACCTGCTGTTTGAATGGAATCCCAGATGTATTAAACAGGTTTCTTTTATTGCTTATAAAATCAATGAAGGACTAATTGAAAAAAAAGTTTATGTGTGTGTATATATATATACACATATATATATATATATATATATATATATACACACACACACATATATATATATATATATATATTTATACACAGTATACAAACAGTATATATATACACCGATCAGCCATGACATTATGACCACTGAGAGGTGAGGTGAAGGCTATAGTGTATGGCCATACTTCCCACTCCACCTCCATTGATTTAAACATGATTTTTCAGACAATCAGGGTGCATGTTTATGTCTGTAAAATAAAAAACAGAAAACATATTCCACTATTTGAATTGTGCCTGAATGTCTGAGCTCCCTTGAATGTCTATGCCTAGCTCAGATTCACATCCAAAAACATCAGAATATAAGCTGAGGCCATCATTCATAAGTACTGCAACATCTTTTCTCAAGGGGAACAAATACCATTAGCCAGTTCCTTGAATAAGACAATAGACAAGGAATTTGACCTGCAAATAACATCCTATGTCCCTGGAGCCTGCATAGCTCCCAGCTGACACTCTGTGATAAATGGAAGAAATATTTTTCATGCCTAATATTATAAGGCATTTAGATCTGACTGTAACATTCATTATCTTTCTAAAAAAAGGACTTCACAGGTTCTTTCCTTACAGCCTATGGCCAAAGAAGGTAGTAGCATGCTTATAGTTAAGGATTCTGGGGAAAAAAGTCACATAGAGTAGGCAGCTACGGTTTCTCCATAGAGGAAAATTTGACAGTAAGGATACTGGGGTTTGCATATCAAAGAGTCTGCAGAGTCTGTTTTATTCACAGATTTTCTCTTTCAGTTTTCTCATCTGGAGTGGAAATTTTAATGGAATATAATTGGCTAGTACAGACAACACAGAATTGTGCATAACAAATGGCTAGTACAGGCAATACTTTCAATATTGAAATATGGGGCCATTTGTTTTATATGAATAACATAAATCAAATTTTTCTTTTAATACAATAAACAAAATACTTCACACGTTGGTATAGGGGGAAGTATACATCTGACCCTGATTAAAAAAAACTAATAATAATACTCAGGAGGCTGAATTTCATTGCCCAAATGTTGTGACAGTCTTTCTTCAAACCTTCAGACATAGGATGTTATTTGCAGGTCAAATTCCGTAGCTATTGTCTTATTCAAGGAACTGGCTAATGGTATTTGTTCCCCTTGAGAAATGATGGAAGATGTTGCAGTACACATGGTACATTCAGAGTCATGTCACCTTGACATTGATCATTAGCAGACCACACACACACCTCACTCTTCCTCCTGTATCTCCCTCTCTCCTCTGCTCTACTTCTCCTCTAGCCACACAGGCCCAGCCACCTCCTGCTGCTGCCCTGGTCTTCCACATCTTTAAGCTGTCCTCTGCTCTACCATCTCTTGGCCCCTCCTTTTCGGTGTCCCTGGCCCACTGGTGCCCAGCTCCCTCCTTTGTCCCCTAATTGGAGAGGAGGGGGGAAAAATGAGCGGGCATGATGGCAGGCTACCTCAACGGAGTGACAAGCAGCACTAAGAGCAAAGTAGAAGCTAATTGAGCGGACATGGTTTCAATAGAGCACAGAACAATGGAACACCTAGAGCAGTGAGACTGTGGGCCTGGTAAATTCCTCCAAAACCTTCCATGCCCCATACGCAGACTATAAAAGTATAGGAATGCAAAAAACCACATGATAATATATCAGCAATCATGAATCCGGATTACTTATGCTTTAATAATCAAAGGACCTTTACTGGAAAGGATGATAACAGGATGATAAAGTATTTTGTTTTCAAGAGTATTTGTTATTGACTCTCCCCTAATGTGTTTACAGGACTCCATCTGTGCCACACGCTAGCTGTACACCACTATATGTATACGGTAGAACCGGGTATCCCAGCATGCCCTATAGGTCTGCACCAGGAGTCCCGACCATGTGAGAGTATCAGGTTACCAAGACTAGCCAGCTGTGCAGGAGCTGCAGGTAGGTCCTCTGCAGCAGCGTGCATGTAGAAGCACATTGCGTGGCTCCAGGATTGGCTTAGAAGCGGCTGGCGTGTTTATCACTGCAATTCAATCCTGCTTGTGCTGTAGATAGGGAGGATGATGCCAGACAGACTGAGGCTCCTCCCATACAAGCCATGCCCCCTTGACATCTCTGCAACTTCTACTGTGGACACTTGAGGGTATATTACATATTAATTTAGAGCATGAACTAATATTAATTGTTCAGGCTTAGAGATACTGAGCAGATCATTGGAGCTAACAGATGACTACAACAATTGCCAATTTGATAGTCTTTCTTGCAAACACTAAAATGGACATTTTCTGAGTTATGGTCTTCCTATGTACATCCAAAAGCAACATAAGATTTACCGGGAACATTATAATAAATACTATGCAATTAAATAATACCTTTTATTGGCTAGCTAAAGTCTCCAGCCATGGTGAAGGGACCTGAGCTGTCTCCAGTTTGCAATTGTGTTCTACTCATGACGTCAATAAAACATGTAATGTATGCTTCTCTTCTATCAACACAGCAACACAGTACAACATTCAACACATATAAAACACATTCTGATGACATTCATCGAAAGGTTTCCTTTACCTGGGGAAATGAAGAACGTTCTCCACAGCTTTTTGTCCCGAGTGACATCTCTTATTTCTTTGGTCATGTTGACTAGTCTACCCGCGACAGGTGGAACACGTCGGAAATCAAGAATCCTGCAAAAAGAAACAACATCAAACTTGAAATGTCATATATTAAAAGCAAACTCAGGTTTTATTGAGGAGGAGATGACCACAGGCCATTATTCTACAGGCTTTATCCAACACAGACAATATCACTTTTTCGAGGGCATACAATTTGATGGCGTGTATCCAGGGAGGCCTAATCCTTTAAGATTACAACCACAGCTTAATCACAAACAGATTGGAAGATAGGAAATAACACATCTATGGCAGATTTCATGGTGGATGAGAGACATTCAATAAAAATTGATTATTTGTTAAACATTTTTTTTTTGTTTCGAATAGAGTGGTAAAGATAAGCACCCCTGCCACATTTTTATTGCTATAGCACCAGAATCAGCAACACCAAGTATGCAGGACCAGGGACCAATGTACATGGAAAGCTTGAACAACAAAACAATCCCTTACAAGTAGTCTGCACCACCTTATATAGACAAATTATATCACAGTCAGGTATATAGAAAAGTGTAAACATGATTAATACATATATATCCTAAATATAAACTGAGTATACACACAAAATACAAAACCACTCACAAGACCAACATGTTGTCCTAAAAAAAGAGAGCACAATCTAGTATCCTAATAACCACCCCACAATATGTAAACAATCAACCAGTGACCAGGGTGCTGACTATGAGCCCCGTCCTGGCATGATCTGGGTCAATGAGGTTAATAATAAGTACAAAATAAGTTGTTCAGTGCCAATCATCCAAAGACATTAAATAAAAATGATATACATGTGCTTACTATCAATGCTTAGTGAAACTAAACTACTAATATACCAACCAATACTACTAAACCAATATCTAGCAGGATCAATAACGTGGCAATTACTATCTGATCTAGTAGCTAGGGGATACAATTAAATATTAAATAAGCAAACAAACAATAACTTAACAGTTAACCTGTGCAGAATAGAAGGAGAGCTGTGCAGTCCCAGGTAGCTGAGACTGCTGAACGATAAGGGTCAGACTTGTAAGAACTACAGTTCTACGTGTGTCTTGGCAACTGCCACTTCTTCAGGAGCTAAGAGTCACAGGGCCAGTAAGGGTTAAGTGCCCCCTTTATGTGTATCAGTTATGTGAAAACTGTGGCTGCTGGCAAAACCAGAAGTGATGTCACAGGACCCGAAAGTGACATTACCAACACCAGAATATGTCATAGGAACTTCCTATAGCTGTATGCGTTCCAAAGAAAGGAAGCAAGTATAAAGCAGGATTTGGGCACCACTCTGCACATATTTTTTCCTCTTGTACTTTTTCTCATAAAAAGTAGTAGTTTTCTGCAAAAGAAAATAACACAGTGGGCCAACACAAATCCAAACCATCAGGCAGAGGTGTAATAAAATGTGAAAATACAGATATAAAAATGTTGCCAAATTAGCCAGCTAACGACCATTACACTCAATTTGTATCCCTGCAGTAAGGATTAAATTATATATA